CAATGAATAGTAATTGCCTTATACTTGCCCTAGACTTTGCCCTTGTGGGTGGAACCACAAATGCAAAGGCTGACACTATTCACGTGAATAGTAGCAGCCCTTGCTTGCCCTTGCCTTAGACTTAGCCCTTGTGGGTGGAGATGCTCTAAGGGCAAATAGGTGGAGTTGCTCTTAATCAGGCTTTTAGCACATGGGCTTACTAATTGGTCTTTAACAAAATAAAATTTAAAACTCATCCACCTTATCCAAAACAAAATAGATAATGTATCAAATGCTAATTACTAAAGTTTTTTTTTTGTGGATAAACACTAATTTTTCTTAAATTTTATAGGTTTGGTTAATCATAATTTAACACCACGGAACTTCGTTGAAACTTTATGTACCATTACGATGCTGCCTGATTCCTCTGAGCAGTAAAAAATAGTTTTGATTTTTTAATTATACCTTTTTATTACATTGGAGGAAATCAAACACTTCTCTATCATCTAATTCATTATTCCCCATTCCCTTGCCACTTAAACTAACCCCAAGAATTTATCGCTAATTTTCCAAAAAAAACTAACCCCACGAATTTGAGGGTTGGGATTCTTGGTTCGAAAGGACTCGCGCCTTGCCCAAAAGTACGTACATAATTTGAGTTGCCCATTAGCATCAGTCATCGGCTATCTCAAATCATCTCCAACCCTTGGGGTGGAAACTCAAATTTTGAGTTTAGCCTCCAAAAACCATCTCCAACCCATGTATTTTGGGGAGTAGAAATTTGAGAAATCTCAAATTCAGACTGGAATTCCACCCAAACTATTGCCTAGACTGATAATGTTTGTGGGCCCAAAATCTACTTTTTCTTCTTTGTTTTTTACCTTGTAAGCCCACGTGAACAACAAAAAGTGTTGGCCCCACGTGAGTTTTGCAACAAGCTGGCCATTTGATTGAATCTCAACCGCTACTTTTTCAAAATTATGCGGTGCTCTATTTTTTCTTTTTTCTTTTTTTTAATTTTTTTAATATTCCATCAGCTATAATTTGTGTCTACCAAAAATCTTTTTTTTTTCTCCCTTTGTTTTCCTCTCTCTCTTTGTTATATTTTTTCATTCTACTTTCATTCTTATATTTTTTTTTCATTATATTGTATACTTTACTCATTCTTAGCACATTAATTTGTGTCAATTAACAATAGAGCAACAACCACTTTTATACAAATTTTCATAATTTAAACACACAACATAATTTAAACACATATGGTGTTGTACTTATTTTTATTTTCAAGTGAAAATCTATTATGTTTTGGAATTTTAATTTTTTTAGGTTAAAATGTTTAGAAAATTAAATCACGAATGTT